AACTCTGCTATCTTCCTCTGAATTCAAATCCTCTGCCAAACCTCACAACACACACTGAAATAATTAACTAATTAATATTTAATAATTAACTACTTAAGCTAATCATCTACTGTGAATTGTGACAGCTTCCCAATGAGAGGCTAACCTATAACCTCAAGTAAATTAAGATTGTTTTATGCATATTTTTGTCAGTAAATGTTTACTCTTAGGAATTAATCCTGTTTCTCAAAAAATCTACAATGTTTGCTTGTAACAATTCACATTAACTTGAAGAAGTACTTAAGCTCACAAAAATCCAGAACTTGGAAAGAAGAATAATTGACAAGAATATAGGTTTTCCCAAAGAGTGACACCGCAGCAAATTAATTTGACAGCATGTTAGTCATGATCCGCTTGGCAAAGAAATCTGCACCTCAATGGCAACAAGAAGTGCATCCTCAAATGAAATGAAATGAATATCCCTCCATCTTCACCTTGACCCCTGAAAGGTGTACTGAGCTTTATGTAAAATGTTCTATCCTTACATTAAGCTGGAATTCAAACTTAACATTGTTTCCTGGGTTGAAAAACATCAAAAAATTGACTTAACAGGACACAAGATTTTTTAAATGTCTGTAGAACCTTGGAAGAAACAATTTTATTTGGAAAAATGCATGTCTTAAAATTTTAGAAGAGGTTACATATTTCTTGGAAAAATGAAAGCAGCTAATCAGGTGGATGAGCTGATAAATATAGGCAGAGTTATATTGGAACGTTCTTCTCTAACGTTATAAAATGTACAGTGCTCAGATAACCTTTACAGTAGGGTCTGCCTAATTTCCGTGCTCTGATCACTGTTACTTAAGAAATCATAGATCATATAAAAACTATAAAATTCAATAGTCTAATTGACTAGACATGACAATGAGCTGATAAGTAAAATTACAGGCAAAGTTCATATGAAAAAATAAAGCCCTGCCAGGCCACTGAGGAAGATGATGCAGCTAGCCCTAATGAGACCTGAGAGGCTAGGGTCAGATAGTTGGGGAGGAAGTCCTTCCCTGGGGAAAGGGCATAGTGGGAGAAGAGGGAAGGTGGGAGGGACTGGGTGGAGATGAGGGAGGGGCTATAGCTAGGCTACAAAGTGAATAAATTGTAATAAATAAATAAATATTTTTAAAAAAATTAATGTATGACTCAATAAAATCCACAGGTGATTCTTATGTCTAGATTCTAGATTCTAGAATGTATTCCAGGAAAAAAAATAATAATGCCTATTAGAATCATTCACGATATATATCATTGCTTCCAGGACAAAAGCTGGAAATACACACTATGGTATCCTTTAGTTACCATTTGGACCATTGCAAACTAATATTGGTGGTGTTTTTACTGAATATAATAGAGTCCTGTTAGTCAGTCATGTGACACAGGCCAGTAATCCCAGCACTCAGGGAGGGAGAAGCAGGTGAATCTCTATGAGTTTGAGGCCAGCTGCTCTACAAAGTGAGTCCAGGACAGCCAGGCTACACAGAGAAACCCTGCCTCAAAAAAAAAAAAAAGACTTCGTTATTACCACTTTACCACTGTACTGTGCAGTAACTGTCTGTCTTAGTTTGGGTTTCATCGCTGTGTAGAGGCCTCATGACCATTGCAACTCTTATAAAGGAAAACATTTTGATTGGGGCTTACAGTTTCAGAGATTTAGTCCATTATTGTGTCAGAAGCATGGCAGCCTGCAGGCAGACATGGTGCTGGAGAGGTAGCCGAGTGCTCGAGATCATGATCCTCAGGCAGCACAAGGAGACTGTGTGCCACACTGGGTGTAGCTTGAGTGTAGGAGACCTTGAAGCCACCCCACAGTGGCAAGCCTCCTCCTACCAGATCACACCTACTCCAACATGGCCATACCTCTTAATAGTGACACTCCCTATGGGCCAAGGGGCCATACACATGAGACTATGGGGCCATACCTAGTCACTGCCTTGAAGCTAGATCTGTACAACCAAGGAACTAGTATAATAACTCCCCAGATAATCTTAAAAATAAGCATTTCATTTACAGATGGTTTATACACATTTCTAATGAGACCCAGGAAACTTAAAAATATCTGAATGAATTTAGTTCTGTATATGCATATATGTATGTATATATATGTATATATACATATTTGAGAGTTGTTTACATTGAAAAGCCAGTAGCTTTTCTCTCTTCTGGAACTAACTAGGTAGAATGGTAAACACACACACACACACACACACACACACACACATCATACTCACACACATAGTCACACACATACATATATAAATATATGTTATATGCATATAGTAAGTATACATGTGCACACACAAACATATGTGAGAGTTTTATTAAAGAATATAGAATAAGGTCCAAATAAGTAGGGTAATATAATATTTTCTGTCTGTGTTAACTAGATGCTAACTTTTAAAACCCCATTCTGTATACTTCATTTATCATTTTGAGACAGGGCCTCAACTTCCGAATATCTTCCTGCCCCTGCCCCCCAGTGCTGAGATTACAGGTTTACCACCGCACCAGTTCAAAGTCTTTTAAAGCAACAGTTGAAGATAGGTGGATATGAAAGTGTACATTTTATAATGCAAAGTTGTAAAATAAACTACTAAGTAAGGAACAAACATTTTCAGTACATTTAGCAGACAAAGGTTAATGATTTCAATATAAAAAACTCTCAAAACTGGTAAGAAAGATGAAATAACACCACAGAACACTGACAAAGTTATGAACAACAAAACACAATTACTTTAAAAAGAAATTAACTCTAAGTGATCAATACACACATTTCTGCAGTAGAAACATTATATCTGATTGTGCTCCTCCTACAGATCAAAATTTTGGGACAAGGGTAACTTTTCTGCATTGCTTGGAGGCAAATGGTTTGTTATAAAGGTATTTTTGTGCTTTGTTTTGGTTTGGTTTTTGGAGAGGGGAGGGCTAGAAACAGGGTTTCTCTGTGTAGCCTTAACTGTTCTGGCTTTGTAGACCAGGCTGGCCTTGAACTCAAAAAGATTCACCTGCCTCTGCCTCCCTGAGTGCTGGAATTACAGGTGTGCACCATTGTGCCTGGCTTATTAGGTTTTGAAAGTGATCTTTTGCTTTCCAAACTTTAAACATACAAGTCTGTCTTTTGTTCTCTCTCCCATAATGCCAAGTATGGAAACATATTTTAATACTTATACGTATAAAATCCTCAGTAAGTCTCAATAAAGCAAGGTGGCACATACCTCTAATTCCAGCACTCCGAAGTTTAAGGCAGGAGGGTGGAGAGAGAGAGGCCAGCTTGTCCTACTCTCTTGAAAGATAAACGTTAGTCAATTACCGATGTGTAGGAGGATAGCGAGGAGAGCCTTGTGTTTAATAATAAAGAGTTTGGCTGTGATTGCCTAATGATTCCTACAAGTGCTATTAGTCAGTAAATTAAAATAGAGACTATTGAATGGAATAATTGATAAACACTATGGAAAATTATGTAGATGGTGCAGAGGGCCTTTTTCCTTTAATCTGTAGGGACAGAATGCTTGTGAAAGAGGAAAGGAGTGTTCACAGTGATGTTTTAAGTGCAAACCCTGTATGTAGAGACACTGAGAAGACGGTACAGAACATTAACGGGAGCCTTTGACAAAAGTGGACTAAAGAGCTTAGTCACATTTCCTTGTGTTCTTAAACTTGTCTCAAAGTTAATTAGTATTGGGGTGTGTGTGTGTAAAACTTCCTGACTCTGTAGTGTTGCTCATGTGTGTGCATGCTCATCCTGGATCCTGATCAGAGGACTTGCTGCAGAAGGCTGATTCCCCCTCCTTCCACCATTAATTGTCTGTAGTCCTTAAGCAAGGGGTTTTGCGAGATCCCCATCCATATAGGCATGCCAGCTGGTGTTGTCATTGTGGTGGTCTTATTTAGGCAACAATATTGTTGCCATTTCATCAGTGCAGTTTTCCTTCATAATCAGCAGACCCTGTCTCCTGGTAGACACTCTGGTCGATATTTCGGTCTCCTCTTCTGCGATGTTCTCTGAGTCTTTAATGTGGGCTGTGCTGTGTATGCAGCAGTTGAGGCTGGGCATTTTGCTTACTTTTTTTTTTTTTTTTTTTTTTTTGCATTTGACTAGTGATAGATTTCTGTAATAGCCTCTGTTCAAATAGAAATATCTTTGATGAGATATTAGAATTAGATTTATCTATGGACATAAGAATGAATATTTAGAAAACAATTAGAAATTAAAATACATTGCCTTCCTGAGTGTTCAGAGTAGAAATGTCCATCAAAAATAAAATGAAGCAGAATCTGCAAACATAGCTGTCAAAAATAACCTAAGTACTTCTGCATATCTAAATTTACATCTGCATTGCTTCTAGCATCCACTTCTTAACATGTTATTGCTATAATTCTATCTCTTACATTTTCCAGTTATGAGTGGAAGAACAGTCTTCCTGATAGTCAATAATGGTTAGACAGAAATTTAATTTCCAACAATTTTACAGTGTGTGCTAAGATATATATATATATATTATGGCTAATCCTAACACTCACTCTCATGTCCTTTAATCAGAAGTTAATATAGTATTGCCTATTTGAATTCCAATTATAGCTTTTTTGTATAAAATAAGGATCACCTCAGAGTAGATGAACAATGTTATCTTTTGCTACCTATATTTGTGCACTTTACACTATTGTTATTTTCTTTTTATTTTTAAATTTATTTATTTATTTTATTACAATTTATTCACTTTGTAGCCTAGCTGTAGCCCCTTCCCTCATCTCCTCCCAGTCCCACCCACCCTCTCTCTTTTCCTCCCATGCTCCTCCTCCAGTCCATGGATAGGAAAGGTCTCCTCCCCTTCCATCAGACCCTAGCTTATCAGGTTTCATCAGGGCTGGCTGCATTTGTAGCTGCCGTGGGCTGTATCTGTACAAGGATTTATACAGGAGAAGGATGTTTAGCCTTAAATGCCAATCATGGTGTCTCTTATTTCCTCTAGGTGGCTTTCACAGTCCTTTTTGACTTGGAAGCACTCCTGAAGATATGGTGCCTAGGATTTACTGGCTATATCAGCTCGTCTCTCCACAAGTTTGAACTACTGCTTGTTATTGGAACCACTCTCCATGTGTACCCAGATCTTTACCATTCTCAGTTCACATACTTCCAGGTAATGCTACTGTAACTACAAATGCCTGTAGTTTCTCAGAGACTATATGTGCTTTTATAATGTTGTTATGGTGAATGACTCCCATGTGCATATTTAGTAATCTTACTTTGAAGTAGGCTCAATGACTTAACTACCAGAAATAGCACTTTAACAAATTGTAACCATTATTTTTAAAATCCTGAGAATTCACGGTAACATATACAAATCTTCAACAAAACTTCTCCCAGTGAATGGTAATATAGCTATACATACTTAGATATATACATACACCACATATCTATTTATAGATATAAAGTTCTAAACAAAATAATATATTGGCACAAACTTTAAGGGGAGGAAATATGAGTTTCTTTCAAGTGAATACACTCCTTGTAAGTTTTCTCACTGAACAATAGTTTACTATGGATGCATTAAAGGTTATAAAATTTACCTTTACAAATTTAAATTCATCTTACATTATTATTTGCAAATTGTTTCTTTCTTTCTTTTGTGATAGTTACATAATGGTAGTTGTAATTATTCTTTCATAAAAATTATTTTTTTCAAATGTGATATTGTTTTATAATTAATTAATAAATATTAATTATTAGTTACAACTTTTAAGTCATTTGGTGCTAGAATATACTCACTGTACTGTTAAATTCATGATAAACATGATTATTAAATTACTCACATGTTAATAGTCTAATAAAAGTGTCTCCAGTACAGTCAAATTTCTGACTTGCATTTGTATAATTTATCATGGAAATATCCAAACATACATTGATATTCTATAAAGAGAAATTATAAATAGTTGTGGAATAAAATGGCAGCAAAATGTTAAATTACTTAGAGAAATAGGATTTTAATTCCTTAGATCAGTGATTCTTAACCTTCCTAATGCTGCAAACCTTTAATACAGTTCCCCATTTTGTGGTGACACTCCAACCATAAAATTATTTTTGTTGTTACTTCATAACTGTAATTTTGCTACTGCTGTGAATTTTAATTAATGTAAATATTTTTGGAGATAGAATGATAACACCTTTTACCTACTGAAAAATGTCATCCTTCTATGATGACTATTTCAAATTTTTATCACATGCCAATTGATACTTTTTGAGTTTTATTTTTGATTTTATGTGCATGAGTCTTTGGCCTGTGTACATGTCTGTGTACCACATACACGCATGATGCCTGCGCAGGCCAGGAAAGGGCAGATGCTGTAGACAGCAGTTACAGGCGGCTGGGAGCCACCTGATGTTGGTGCTGGGAACCGAAAACAGATCTTTATAGGGACAGCCAATACTCTTAACTGTGGATTCATATTTCACTTTCTCAATTTATGCCTCTTAATCATATTATATTCCCTTAAGCACTGCATCTGATTTATGCTCTTTTGTAATATTACCATATAATAATCTTTCTATAACATTCTTGTCACATAATTAATATTTTCAATTTAAAAACTAATTTATTATTTGTATTTGGGTTAGGTTTTGTGAATACCTTCTAAATAAATATATATATATAACAATGCCCAACATCTAGAGAATAGAGATGACAAGTTCGGAAAGTACAGAAAAGCTCTAAAAACACAAGAGTTATCAAGACTGAAATTTGTTTCTTTCCAGCAGCTGGTAAACACACAGGAAAAATAGGTGATTTGTTCCATGATAGCCTCAAAAGGTCCAACCTGTTACTTTGGATCTAACTATTCATACCCTTTACAAAGATTTTTACATAGTCTTTCATAGGTGATTTCATTGTTACTATCCTACCTGTTTCTATTTTTTAGAACAGAGAAAGGGAAAATAATTATATCTAGGACAAGTTTGATTTACCATGTCCATAGTTTTAGAAGTCTCTTGTTTTCATAGCTGGTCAGCTTGAGCCTAGTCCATTGGGAAATTTCAGCTACAGATTGTAAATGAAAAAACTAAAGCAGAGTCTTTTGCCCCCTGGGGTCACTTGACTAAAATCCAGGAAGATCTGTTATTTAAAGGAAGAGGGAGAAAATAGATGTTGGATATGAAGTAGGAGTCTGAACCAGTCCTTGATAGAAGTTTGATTTTCCCCATTTATTAGTGTATGATACCTAGGAAGGTTTATTTTAGGAGACAGTAAACAGAACTAATATTGACTCAAATGACTACTTAGGTACTAAGCATTAGGAAATATCAGTTTTATTTGAACAGCATGTACTATTTAATACCATTTTGAATTATCATATTGTATGTTGAAACAGTTATCAATATTTGTCTTTATTCGTTGATTTGAGAGTTGCTGTGTTCTCACTGTATGGCAGGCTACATGTGTGGATGTCTTAGAGACCATATTACTATTTTTAGTCTCTAGGTGAAAAGAAAAAATATGACTTATTTTTTACACAGTACCATGGAAATTATATTTTAGTACAGATTTCTTTAAAAATTCTGCTTCTAACATGTATGTCTTTTTCTCCATGACTAGGTTCTCCGGGTAGTGCGGCTCATTAAGATTTCACCTGCATTGGAAGACTTTGTGTACAAGATATTTGGTCCTGGGAAAAAACTTGGAAGCTTGGTAGTATTCACTGCCAGCCTCTTGATTGTCATGTCAGCCATTAGTCTACAGATGTTCTGCTTCGTTGAAGAACTGGACAGATTCACCACATTTCCAAGGGTAAGAAGGTGAAACATGGCCAGTCTAATCTGCTGTTCTTATTTTAGCAATGGTGGTTAGCTTAGCCATCGTTCAAAAGTACTAGCATATCTTTGATAGTTGAGATCATTAAGTCCTAGTATTTTGATCAGCCTTTTCTATGGGATACAGGAACTTGAATACATTTTCAGCATTGTCAGAGTACACATCGATTCTAAAATTCTGGAAGCAATATTTTGGGATGCCACAAAGCATCAGTAAAAGAAAATGGGAGCAATGCTCCATCATGTCTATAAATTACAATTTAGAAAGAGTTTTAACTAGAATGTCCATTTTTTTAGGTGTATCATATTTTAGGCATATTTTACAGTCCATCTTTTTTATGTTGTATCTAACCTAAGCAAACTGGGTTGTTTATATAATACAATTCATAGAGCACAAATTTAAGTAGGAGGTGACCCAGAGGCCTGCATTCGTGTTAAAATTCACAACGGGGAAAGAAAAATGACATCACATGGCTCCATAGCAGGGTTAGGGTTCAGTCACTGACTGTAAGGGCCCATGTAGACTAGAAACCCAGCAGTGAGTGACCAGGACAAAGATGGTGCATGTTCTCACCATAAGTTGAAATAATGAGGCCTGTGTTTGTGGGAAGCACAATCATGGAATAAACAGGATAAAGTATGTTCTGTTAAGCTAAAAGCAAAAGTAGTGAAATTAGTACTTCTAATGGAACTATTAAGATGATGGGTTTTCTTGTTTTTTATTTGTTTGTTTCTTTGGTTAGTTGGTGTTTTAAGACAGGGTTTCTCTGTGTAGCACTGGCTGTCCTGAACTTGCTTTGTAGACCAGGCTGGCTTTGAACTCAGAGATCCACAGACCCCTGCTTCGCTGAGTGCTGGGATTACAGGCATGTGCCACCGCACCCAGAACAATGATAGTTTTTAAATAATTTTTGCTCTAAGCTTGTAACTTAACTCTCAGTGTTGAAATTTATCCTTTTAATCTTATGAAAGAAGTGGGAAATAGTAAGATCTGGAGAGGACAGGAACTCCACAAGGAGAGCAACAGAACCAAAAAATTTGAACACAGGGGTCTTTCCTGAGACTCATACTCCAACCAAGCAACATTCATGGAGATAACCTAGAACCCCTGCACAGATGTAGCCCATGGCAGTTCAGTGTCCAAGTGGGTTCCATAGTAATGGGAACAGGGACTATCTCTGACATGAACTGATTGGCCTGCTCTTTGATCACCTGCCCCTGATGGGGGAGCAGCCTTACCAGGACACAGAGGAAGACAGTGCAGCCACTCCTGATGAGACCTAACAGACTAGGATCAGAAGGAAGAAAAAGAAACCCTCCCCTACCAGTGGACTTGGGGAAGGGCATGCGTGGAGAAGGGGGAGAAAGGGAGGGATTGGGAGGGGAGAAGGGAGGGAACTAGAGGGGGGATACAAAGTAAATAAAGTATAATTAAAAACAAAATTAAAAAAGAAAATAAAAAAGAAATTTATCCTTTTATAATCCTAACTTCTCATCCATGTATCCATCCATTTGTAAATCAAGAGATGTACCAAGTATATAGATGGCACTCAATTTTAGTACTTCAAAACCTCTCGGCTGAGGAAAGGGACACAGCTATGCAGGCTCAAGGCACCCTACAACTCTAGAGGGAGACCCATGGCCGGGATGAAAAAGCTCAGAAAGGCTTACTTGAATGTGAGCCTTGGAGAGATAAGGAAGCCAAATGCAGCGTTGTGTTGGTGTACAGCATGTCCAAAAAGTCTAAGATGAAAAAGTTTGCAGAGGAAAGGGAAAGAGTAGTTAATAGCTGTATTAGTCAGGGTTTCTGTTGCTTTGTTAAATACCATAACCAAAGGGAATCATGGTCATTCCCAACCAAACAAGGCATGGACCAAAGGTAGTTACTGATGGTACAGAATCAGGAAAGACAGTTAAAAGCACTGGGCAGTTCTCTCTCTCTCACTCTCTTGCTGTCTGTCTGTCTGTCTGTCTTCTCCCTTTTCTGTCTGACTCTGACTCTGTTTCTGTCTCTTTCTTGATCTGTCTCTCTCTCTCTTCCTACTCTGACTCTATCTCTTTCTTAATCTCTGTTCTCTGTCTCTCTGTCTCTGTCTCTCTGTCTCTCTCTCTCTCTTTCTCTCATGTTAATACTGGTACAGTCATACTTCTCTAACCCTAGAGCTGAGAGGGGAGAGGAGAAGCGTATCACAGAGGTTTGCTGCTTCTTAGCCAATGTAGCGAAAACTTCACGTTCCAGGTTCAGTGAGAGACTGTCTCAACAAATAAGGTGTAGGATATTATAGGAGGACAACCAGCATACCCTGGCATCCAGATGTGTACACATGGAAAACTATGCCCTCATACACATGTGCACACACCCACATAGACCCCATACATTTGGAAGAGAAAAAACCTGCCCACATGCCCAAAATGAAAGGTATTGTGGGATATGCTCGTAATGCCAGCATTTGAGATTGGGAGGTTGAGACGGTGGCTCCCTGGGGTTCACTGGCCTGGCCAATCGAATGAGTTCTCAGTCTGTAAGAGACCCTGACCCAAAACATAAGATGGAGAGTCTCAAGAGGAATTGTCATTACACCAGACTTGTCATTGGCCTCCACATGATTGCTTACACATGTGAACTGCACCTGAATGAACACATAGTCTCTCACTGAACCCGGAATGTGAAGTTTTGGCCACACTGGCTAAGCAGCAAACCTCTGTGATAAGCTGGTTAGAGAAGCATGACTGCACCTGATATTAATGTGTGTTCTCAGAATCCTAATGTACACAAATTTCACATCCTGAGCTCACTCCCCTAACTCTATGGTTTCACTTACCTGAGCTCTAGAAATCAACCCAGCTCCTTAGCGTGCATGGCAAGTACTTTACTGGTGGAGCCATAGTCCAAGTTTCCTCTCTCCCTTCCTTCTTCTTACCCAGTAGTTAGGTGCTTGGGACAGGTTGGTTTCTCATAGTTTTAGCCAAAGCATACTACAGTAAAACAATTTTTTTCTATAATAAAAATCACACAAGGAATACTGGAGAGATGGTCTGACATATGCTTTCCATACACATATAAGGACTAATGTTTGACTCCCCAGAACCAGTGTAAAAGTTGTGGGCATCACGTGTCTGTACTGCCACCACTGAGGAAGGAGAGACAGGTGGATCCCTGGAGCTTGCCAACCAGCCAGTCCATCTGTGGCAGTGAGCTCCACAGTGGAAGACCATCTCAAAAAGCAGGACAGAAAGTGACGAGAAAGAAACACAATGTTGACCTCTTTCCTACACATACATGTTATGTGCAGTTGGAGACACACAGCTCACCTGGATACACACAAGCACACACTCATACACGAGCACACATGTGCTTACGCACACACGAAGGAAAAGGAAGGTCATGGGAGATATTCAGCGTAAGTTAGGACTGTGACTGTTGATATTGTCTTGACGGAAGTCCTAGCCGTCACAGAGGGCGGCGACCAGCAACAAGCATGGCACCATGGAAGGACGTAGGAAATAAACTATGGAAGGCTTTTGAGTAGGGAGAGCACTCAGCATGCAGAAGGAGGCAGTCCAGTAGAGGCAGGAAGAGGCCAGGGCAGTGACCTGGTTGAGCACTAAAGATTAACAAAATACAAACATCTTTCAGGAAAATGCACCATGCGATTGACATATAAGAAATGAATCATGTTTTCCCTTAGTTTTCTGATAAAGGTTGATACGCATCATTTCACTAAGGCTTTGCTCAGATTTTCCCTATACTTACTACGTAAAAAACTGGCAAAAATTTACAAAAATGGATACACTAAACATATACTACATGATTTAATCTTTATCCCTTCTAACTCCTCACCAACATTTCATCAGGCCTCATTTCTTTTCAGTCATACAAATGTAGTTAGTTTTTATTCATAACCAGTATACCACACTCCAAAGCAGTAATACTTAGTTTTTTTAATATTTGTTATCTGATACAGACTTTCTTAATTTGAAAACTCTAAATGCTAATTACTTGCTCTATTAGGTTTTTCCTTATAAAATTATGTCCAAGAGATTTGTTATACTGTAAAAACAATAAATGCTATAAAACTAAATTACAATTTAATATCTATGTTTTCTTTCAATCATTGAAGTGACTAATCATTTTGTTTGTCTTGAAAAAATACTGAAAGCTTAAAAAAAAGATATGCTCTTCTCTTTTTGTTCTATTTGCCATTTAGTTAGAGACTATGAGTACATTTGTAATGAATGTGGGTCAAGGTTAATTTAACCTCCAGAAGTACTAGTTCAGTTATTACTGCAGATATCTCTACTGACTTTTAACTCACACCTTTGCCTTTTATTATGTTTTTTAATTTGCTCTGAAGTATCTCAGAAATGAAAAAAAAAAAAAAACATTAGCAATACTTAAAGAAGCTTCTGACCATTCACTCAACCCTATAGTATGAGCTACTTAGCAGCCAAGTCAAGGAAGCCACAAGTACAAGACCTGACTCAGCTAGAGGGTGAGTTCAAGGCCAACCTAGGCAGCTTAAGGAGATCTCGTCTTAAAGCAAAAGTTAAAGGAAAAGTGAGGATGGAGCTCAGTGTAGAAGGCTTACCTAGCGTACACAGGGTGTAGATACCCAGGACTGAAGAACTTAATCTTACAGAGTCTGGCTTATGTAGCTCAAGCATCAGACCCTGGGTTCAATCCTTAGGTCAACAAAAAGTATTTATCAAAATAAAACTGTAGCCGTGCAGAACTGAATATGCAAAACTGAGTTAGATATGAAGTCCTCGGATGCCTCTCTCGGGTCACTCTTCTCTCAGATCTGGATACAACACAAAGGAGGCTGAAGTACGGATGTGAGCAAAGCTCACTGTGCAGCTCCATGACCCTGAGCAAAGAATAATGCCCAGCCTAACCTTCAGGCCACAGAAGCCAGCAGTCAATTGCCGGGGGGGGGGGGCTATGTGGACAAGCCCATTTTGTTCCATTAGTAGAAC